TCTATGGAATATCTTGCTCTCTCTCCCTCACTCAGATGTATTGTCTGAGATTCTGGTATATATACAACTGATGAAATGCTTCCCTGTGTACTCTGGGAAAAATGGGCTTGCTTATGTAAGCAGTGACTCAAGCAAGCACAAAAAATTTCAATGTTTAAAGTGTGAAAGATATTTGGCTGATTGGCCATATCTGCAAACTTTGATAATTTACCAAAAGAAGAAGACATCTTCCTTAAAACATGGGGCTGAACCCCACAAATCTCCCCCTCTAGATCCATTCACCTAAAGGAGGGTATACCGGATTTCTTAGTTTGAGTGCATGCCTACAAGTTCTTTGCACGATTCGAACTTGTCTCTCGGTACCACCTTGGTCAGCATATCTGCAGGATTTTCACTCGTGTGAATCTTTTTGACTTGAAGTGATTCGTTCTCCACTTGATCACGAATCCAATGATATCTGACGTCGATGTGTTTTGTTCTCGCATGGTACATGGAGATTTTACTCAGGTTTATTGCACTCTGACTGTCGCAATAGACAACATACTTCATCTATCGCAATCCAAGTTCTTGAAGAAATCTCTTGAGCCATATCATCTCTTTGCCAGTTTCATTAGCCGCAATATACTCCGCTTCAATTGTAGAGAGTGTGACACACTTCTGCAACTTCGATGGCCATGATATAGCTCCCCCTGAAAAAGTAAATAAATATCCAGTAGTGGATTTTCTGTTATCAAGGTTACCTGCCATATCAAAATCTATATAGCCCTTCAAAATTGGATTTGATCCTCCAAAACATAGGTGTTCATGTGAGCTTCCTCTTATATACCTTAGTATCTACTTTACAGCTTCTTAATGCTCTTTTTTTGGATTTTCGAGAAATCTGCTAACAACACCGACTGCATGAGCAATATCAAGTCGAGTGCATACCATTGCATACATCAAACTTTTGACGATAGAGGAATAAGGAATCTTGGCCATTCTCTTTTTTTCCTCCGTTGTTGTAGGACACATCTTCTTGCTCAACTTCAGATGACCAGGAAGGGGTGTGCAAACCAACTTAGCACTCTTCATAGTGAAGCGCTCCAGTACACGTTCTATGTACTTCTCCTGTGACAAGTAAATCTTCCTTTCGTTTCTCGAACGAGTAATTCTCATGCCCAAAATCGTCTTATCATGACCCATTTCTATCATTGCAAAAGACTTATTCAATTGGTTCTTCAACTCGTCAATCTTGGAAGCATTCCTACCCACAATCAACATATCATCCACATATAGCAAGAGGATAATAAAGTCATCATCAGAAAATCTTTGTACAAACACACAGTGATCTAAAGAAGTCCTCTTGTAGCCTTGCTCCCCCATAATAGACTCAAACTTCTTGTACCACTGTCTCGGAGATTGCTTCAATCCATATAGACTCTTCTTAAGTTTGCATACAAGATTTTCTTTACATTTTGCCTTGAAGCCCTCTGGTTATTCCATATAAATATCCTTTTATAAGTCACCATGAAGAAAAGCAGTCTTCACATCCATCTGCTCAATCTCCAAATCAAGACTAGCAGTCAAACCAAGAACTCTCCGAATGGAGGACATTTTCACGATAGGAGAAAATATTTCATCAAAGTCAATACCTTTCCTTTGACCAAATCCCTTGACAACCAATCTAGCTTTGTTTCTGGGCTTCAAACTATGTTCTTCAGTTTTAACTTTGAACACCCACTTGTTTTTCAAAGCTCTCATGCCCTTAGGCAATTTCACCAACTCATAAGTATGGTTCTCATACAGAGATTTCATCTCATCTTGTATGGCTTCAATCCATTGATCCTTGTGCTCATCTTCTATGGCCTCCACATAACATTCAGGTTCTCCCCCATCAGTGAGTAATGCATACTCATTGGGTGAATAATGAGAGGAAGAAGTACGTGGTCTAGGAGACCTCCTGAGTGGAATTCTAACTCGTCCACAGCTTCGTGAGTAGGAGCATCTGCCTCATCAACATTAGCATTGTTATCACCATCACCATCAATATGTTGATCTAGAATATGGTTCTGGGCATCACCATCATCATTGAGCCCACCAACGTCATCCGCATTTGTATGAGGAACTTGATCAACATTAATTAAACCTTCAGAACTTGGAGATTTTAGCTTCTCCGTTTTGTTAATATCTTTAATGGTTTGATCCTCCATGAAGATAACAACACGTATTCTCATGACCTTCTTCTCGCTAATGTGGCTAAGCCTCTTATGCTATACGTTGAAGAAATATTGCTCTCAACAACATTTACCATATCAATACAGGTAGAGGTCGTAGTCCAGTATAGACCACAACGTTTTTCCCCACGAGCCACAATCATGGAACCCTTAGTGAGCTTCCACTTTCCAGCACCATTGGTACTGACATATCCCTCATCATCCAAAACACCAACAGAGATCAAGTGCAAACGAACATCAGGTGCATGTTTTACATTGTTTAAAACTAGTTTAGTTCCAATACTAGTTTCCAAAGAAATCGTTCCAACACCAGCCACCCTAGATACTGTCTTATTACCCATACTCAAAGTTCCAAAGTCACCCTGAGTATAAAATGAGAAAAATTCCTTCCTTGATGTCACATGAGATGCGGCACCACTGTCCACAACCCAGCTTGACTCATCACAATCAATATTTATCATATCCGCATCAAGGACAGCAACAAGATTTTCTGTAGTGACGGTGGCCACACGATTGCCATCTTCTTTCTGTTCTTCCTTATCTCTATTCTCCTTTTTCAAAATCTGGCAGAACTTCTCTATGTGCCTTTTCTTCCCGCAATGATAGCACTCAATATCTTTAAGTCTGCTTCTGGATTTGCTTCTATTATGTTCTCTATTTTGAGAACCCCGATTCTTGCTTCTCCCCCTAGAGTCAGTCACGAAGACATCTGATAAGGAGGAACCCTAAGATTTTCTTCTCATCTATTCATTTAAAAGGTTGCTCTTGGCAAGATCCATAGAGATCACACCATCCGGAGCAGAATTTAATAATGAAGTTCTAAGAACTTCCCAAGAATCTGGTAGGGAACCAAGTAGAAACAAGCCTTGAATTTCTTCATCAAATTTAGCAGATAACTAGTTCATAATCCCCTGAAAATTATTCAGATGATCTGTCATCACGGAACCATCGTGGTATTTTAAACCCAACATCTGCTTTATCAGAAATATCTTGTTGTTTCTAGTTTTCTGAGCATACAAACTTTCAAGGTGCTCCCATAGGGTCCAAGCATGTGTCTCCCTAGAAATATGGTTCAAAACATTATTGTCAACCCATTGTCTAATAAAGCCGCAAATCTGCCTATGTATCAAATTCCACTCTTCATCTGATTTATTATCAGACTTTTTAGTGGTGAAGACAGGTTGATGAAAATTCTTCACATAGAGCAAATCTTCCGTTTTGCCTTTCCAAATGGCATAATTTTTGCCATTGAAATAACCATTCTACTAGTGTTGGTTTCCATAGTTTATCACAAAAATAAATATTATTTATTAGGATACCAAAGTAATTCTTTTCTGATGTGGAAGTTCAGACTGTGCTACAACCATAGAGAATACTCAGACAGAATCTTGGCTCCGATACCACTTGTTAGGAATAAAAATAGACCCGCAAAAATAATATTCACGGTATTAGTGATAAACGCGGAACACTAAGTTATGGTTAAATTAGCAAGAATAAAAGTGCAGCAATAATAACACCAAGATTTTATGTGGAAACCCTTCTGAATAAGAGAAAAACCACAGCCAAGAAGAGCTACTGATATCACTATAGCAAGGAATTTTATATTGTGCAGTAATCAGTACAAATACTCCTAAGACCACTACACCCTCAAAAGAAAAAAAATACTGTCACACCTCCTTTTTACCTACACCCCGTAAGGGTGTATATATAGGGAGTTTTTCCAATTAAAGGATAATCGAAACGGGATTTACTGTTAAAAGATTCAGAGTCACCACTTGGGAGATTTATGGTGTCCCAAGTCACCGGTTCAAATCCAGAATCAAGGAAAAGATTGACTCTGTTTAACAGTCCGCGCACCAGAAATCCGGGTAAGGAATTATGTTAACCTGGGAGAAGGTGTTAGGCATTCCCGAGTTCTGTGGTTCTAGCACGGTCGCTCAACTGTTATAATTAGCCTATTATCTGATTTTAAAACATTTTGCACCTACGTGCATTTTAACATAAAACCGTTTTTATTTATTTTAGAGAAAATTTAACGTCGTCTAAAACATGTTTTTGGACCGCGTCACATGAAATGCACCCGCAATCCGAAATACATTTTATTCAACGCTATCACGATTTGGATTTGGGTCACATGAAATGCACACCCGAGTTTAGGAAAGTAATATTATTACAATAACGCGCCTAAAGCAACTACGCGTTTTTAACTTTACGAGGGCCATGGAAAATTCGCTAAATGGCACGCCTCAAATTCTAAGTATTTTAAGGAAAAATAATTAAACGAGGGCCAAGAATTTGAGATTTTTATTTGGCTTGGCACGCCTCAATTCTAGATTTGAAAAGAAGGCTGATCTAATTAACTAGAAGACCTAAAGAGGTTCGCATCTTTTATTCTGAAGCTAAGGTTCAATGAGCTTAATACTTAGTGGGCTGATATTAAAAACTGATACCTTGACTGTTTGATAAGACTAAGGCCAACAGCAAGCCTTATATCCTCAAATAGGCCAGGCCCGACTAGATACAAATACATGAAGGGCCCAGGAATATGCCAAAGAAACGGCAATGAAGCATAACAGGCCCAAGAGGCCCATCTCGATGTACTGCCTGTTGCATGCCCATGCTAACCCCAAACTGATGACAAGGAAAATATGGCGTCAACCAAAAATATCCAAGACTATCATGATTTAACAGCTTGCTGCAGTTAAACAAAACAATAAATTGAATTTGAAATTCTCAATCAAAGGTACCAAAACCTCATACTAACAGGATACTATGGGAATGCACAACTAGAACAAACTAACTTATGTAAGTTCAACAATCAATCACAAACTGGTTTTAAGAGAACAATTCCGCAGGTGAAACGACATACTATTACACTATTGATTATGGTATAATTGACAATCTATTACAGTGATCCCATGGCACACATTGTCCAATTAATCATACATACACAACATTAAATGTGCAAGTGATAGCTTAGATAACATCTAAAACTACATATCTACTACAGAAGATTAAAGAAGTAGGAGGAACAGGGGAAGCTAAGTTCAAATGCAGCCTGCGTTCAATCAGTATTCCACCCGATTCACATTATCAACAATCACTCGTTATTCATGGGCTAAGGAGGTACCTGGGAAGCAAAAGCAATAAGAGATTGAGAGATCGACAGCAAGCAATAGCGGTCAGCCCAGAACCAACAACACCAATGAAACAGTAAATCTTCCACAATCAACCAAAAAGGTTTTTCAATGGAACAGTAAAGGAAGTCCAAAATCAACTCTAAACCAAAAGCTCAAGCCATTTTTTTAAACCAGATATGTAGCTAGAGCAAATTTTTAAGTATTCTGCAGAAACTTAATGGGTTTTTTAACAATGAAATGCAGGGACTTCAACACCTAAAAGTATTCCTCCCTTTAGCTTTTCTCAAGGAGTATGTTTCTCCGAAATCTGACTTGAATAACAAGTCTTGATGCCTTTATAGGCAAGACATTAGGGCAGCCTCAAAGAATTCAAATTTTGCAATTAGACCCTTTTTACATTTGCAATATAGCTTAGATATCCCTAGGCAACTATCAGATTTTCGGTTGAGTCCTAATGACAGCTTCTGGGAAGCTTCCTATTTCAGTTATAGAGATATTCTTTACCTAGATTTCCCAATTTACCCTTTTAAACCCTGTTAATTACCTTGCTAACCAAACAAACTTGTGCTCAGAACAACCGGGCATCTTGAATTGGGTCAGAAATGACTCAAAAGCCCAAGGCTGGTTCCAAATCAGTCCAAATAAACATTAAGAAACTCAAATTCTGACCCAAAAAGCCCCAACAACACGAGTAAACAATTTGACTATGCGCAGACTATTACCTTGACAATTATAAATTAAAAGTAACAAGATCATTAATAACAAGGTTGACACAGCAAAATCAACCCTAAGCGGGTTTGGAATAATTAAACAAAGATACTAACAAAGTCGTGCTTAATGGATCAAAAGCAGTTAAAGAAATCAATTTGGGAAAACAAAACTTAACGGAGAGCCCAAGAACACAACCAACTCTCAAATAGCACAATTAACAGAGTTTTAATTGAATCAACCAAAAAAATAGGAGAGGTGGACCAAGAAATGAAGGACGGACTCACCAACTAAAACTCGAACCTGGGGCTTGGGACTCCTAAATGATGTCAAGTACTTGTTTTTTAACAAGGAACAACTCTGCATGTACGGGTTTGGGTTTGGTTTTAAAAGCTCGGCCTTCAGATTTAACATTCGACGAGTTCCAAATAGATTCGAAGGGAGCTGGTCAAAGACTTGGGAAGAGGAGGTCGAGAAGGCACTAGGGTGTTGATTTGGTGGGGAAAGGTGGGGGCGCCGCCTGGTTAAGGCGGTGGAATTAGGGGCGGCGGGTAGGGTTTCTGTAGGAGAGATGAGAGAGGTAAACGGAGAGGAGGAGCCTGTTCGAACTTAACTGTCTCTATAGGTTTTAGGACAATTTTAAACGAAAATGATGAAATGCTCTGGGCCGTTGGATGCAACGAGACGAACGGCCATGATTTGTTGAGGTTTAATGAACTCGAAACGACGTAGTTTCACGCCTGTACTACGTCGTTTCTTGAGTCTTAGGGACAGAAGGGCTGTGGGCTGGGTATGGGCATGGTTTGGATGGGTTCTTTGTTTGGGCCTGGGGAATTTTAAATAAAAATGGCCCAAACAGACTTCCTATTGAAATTCGTTTCTTTTTCTTTTCAATTTCAAATCCTTTTTCTTTTCAAATTAAAATAAAACCTAAATTAATTTTTAAAACCAAATTAACCTACCCAATTAGATTAATCACTCATCATAGTATTTACAATAATTAATTAAATCCTAAATTTAGAGAAAACTATAAAATTCAAAATTAAAGAGTTAAAATGCAAAATGAACTATTTTTGTGGTTTTCATATCTTATAAAACAAACTAATTTACTAATTAATCTAAAAAAATGTAAATAAATCCTAAATGCAGATGCAGCATATTTTTGTATTTTTTATTAATTAAACAAAAATAAAAATGCACAGACCAATGCAAACCATTATCAGAAAATGCCACAAAATCCACAAAATTGCAAATTATGAAAAGAAATTATTTTGTTTTGAATTTATGGAGTAATTCATATAGGGCAAAAATCACGTGCTCACAGCTGCCCCTCTTTGCCCGGAAACACGAAGAGTTTTCGTGCAAAGATAAAGTGAGCGGATACGAGCGATGTTTGCCCGTTTGAATACTCCGTGGGAAGCATTTTTGAAAGATTTGACCACACCATGCTTCCGAGGTTGCCTACATATCCTTGGCTATAAAGGAATCAGGTCAGTGTAGTTCGGGAAGTTTTGGTAGATGGGACTACCACGAAGCTGTGATTTCACTATTGATGTTGCTGCTGCTACTGCTTACTGTATCTCCTTGATAAAATAAGAAGAAGCTAGACTATACTATGATCTATGCATTACAAAATCCTATCTATATCTTCAAACTTGCTCATGTGGTTCTTGTTGCCTTGTTGACTTGTATTCTCCCGGTGGAATCCCTTTGTTGCCGCCTTGAATTGTAATCTAAGATGCTTTTCCTTTTCTCCAGGTGGATGCCTGACTGCCAACTACACTTTGAGATGTTTTTCTTTTCTCCAGGTGGACGCTTGACTGCTGAACTTGAATGTATTCCCTGCTCTCCAGGAGGGCTCCTGACTTTAACAAAATAAACAAAAACAAAGAAAGTTTTCTGCCCCAGTTTGGTGGATGGGCACACATGTAAGTGTAAAAAGGATCGCATTACCAAATATCAATAAGAATTTGAAAGCTAAAACTTGAATTGTACTCTCTTGTTCTCTAGGCGGGCTCCTGACTGCTGACTTGAATTGTACCCCCTGCTCTCCAGACGGGCTCCTGATGGCTAAACTTGAAATGCATTCCTTGCTATCCAGGCGTGCTCCTGACTGCTAAACTTGAATGTATTCCCTGCTCTCCAGGCGGGCTCTTGACTGCTGACTTGAAATGTATTCCCTACTCTCCAGGCGGGCTCCTGACTGCTAAACTTGAATGTATTCCCTGCTCTCCAGGTGGGCTCCTGATTGTTGAACTTGAAATGTATTCCCTGCACTCCAGGCGGGCTCCTGACTACTGACTTGAAATGTATTCCCTGCTCTCCAGGCGGGCTCCTGACTACTGACTTGAAATGTATTCCCTGCTCTCCAGGCGGGCTCCTGACTACTGAACTTGAATGTATCCCCTGCTCTCCAGGCGGGCTCCTGACTACTAACTTGAAATGTATTCCTTGCTCTCCAGGTAGGCTCCTGACTGCTAAACTTGAATGTATTCCCTGCTCTCCAGGCGGGCTCCTGATTGCTGAACTTGAAATGTATTCCCTGATCTCCAGGCGGGCTCCTGACTACTGACTTGAAATGTATTCCCTGCTCTCCAGGAGGGCTCCTGACTTCAACGAAATAGACAAAAACAAAAAAAAATTTTGCTCCAGTTTGGTGGCTGGGCACATACGTGAGTGTTAAACTGAATCATATTACCAAATATTACTAAGAATTTGAAAGCTAGGTCCCATTATCCAGGGGGTTCCTGACAATTCTTACCTAAACTACAATTTTAAATCTAAGTTATATCTTCTAAAGGTGTGACTTCCGCTAAATCTTGTTATCTAAAAGGGTCTTAACGCTACATCTCATTATCCAAGAGGGCCCTGAAAATCAAAGGTCAAATTTTATCTTAAGAGTGACAACTTTTATGGCTGAATTATACTACCATACAGCTGAATTTATGCTAAATGTTGTTATTTAATCGAAATCTTAAAACTAAGTCCCATTATTCAGGAGGGTCCTGAAAACTCCTAATTGAATCTTATCTCGAACATGTAAACTTCTAAACCTACTTATATTCCTTTGGGATACGTTTATGCTAGCTTACGCTATTTCTAAACTTTACGCTAGGTCCCATTTTCCAGGAGGGTCCTGAAAATCAAAAATCAAACCTGTTTGGTGACTGCCTTTCTTCACGGCGGGTTCTCCGAAACAACCGAAATTTCATGCCCCTGTTTTAATCAAAGAAAGTTTTGTCAGTTTAAAATGTGGTGGTTAATTTGTGGCCTTGACTTTGAAGGAGATTTCTCCTTCACTTCCCATGATAATTGATTTCCGCTCGAGGACCTTGCTTGCTTATGGACTAACCAATTTCTCTGTCATCCTTGTCACAAAAAATACCCCTTCTCCGTTCAGACCCAATTCCCTTTATCTGTTGCATTGCTCATGAACTGACATTTACCAACCTTTGTGTTTCACATGAATCCCAAAGCACGTCAATTACCGTCCACTCAATGTGCATGTTGTTCTTTCCTGACTTAACCCACTAGCATTGGCCTTGAGGTCTATTGCTCCTTCACTTGCCATGATAACTTTGATTTCCACTCGAAGACCTTGCTAACCACTTTCTCTGTCATCCTTATCACAGAAATTACCTCTTCTCCGTTCAGACCCAATACCCTCTATCTATAGCATTGCTCATGAACTGACATTTACCAAACCTTTGTGTCTCACATAAATCCCAAAGTGCGCCAATTACCATCCACTCAATGTGCATGTTGTTCTTTCCTGACTTAACCCACTAGCATTGGTCTTGAGGTCTATTGCTCCTTCACTTGCCATGATAACTTTGATTTCCACTCGAAGACCTTGCTAACCACTTTCTCTGTCATCCTTATCATAGAAAATACATCTTCTCCATTCAGACCCAATACCCTCTATCTGTTGCATTGCTCATGAACTGACATTTACCAAACCTTTGTGTCTCAAATGAATCCCAAAGTGCACCAATTGTCACCCACTCAGTACGTATGTTGTTCTTTCTTGCTTAAACCACTAGCCTTGACCTTGAGGTCTATTGCTCCTTCACTTGCCATGATAATTTTGATTTCTGCTTGGAAGACCTTGCTTGTCACTGGTTAACCACTTTCTTTGTCAATCTTATCACGGAAAATACCTTTGATCCGTTCACCCTACACCCTCCATCTGTTGCACTGTTCACGGACTGAAATATACCAAACCTTTGTATTTCTCATAGACCCCAAAGCATGTTGATTGCTACCAACTCAGTGCGCTTGTTGTTCTTTCCTAACTTATGCCACTTTGATGTGCTGGCCAGATCCTGTTTTGTGCAATTGGAAAGCTGGTGGCAAATTTTGAAGTCATTTCTCACTTATTTTGACCAAACAGACTCAGGAAGAGGAAGTAAACAAGACAAAAGGAACAGAGTAAAGGACAAAGGAAAGAGATGATTCCTAACAAGAAAACAACAAAGTAGAAATCTATCAGATGTGGATACCAACTCTAATGACCATGACATGCACCTGTAGCCTATTCTGTTGAGCAAGTATGATGTTCAACTCCTGTTATACCTCTAAACCGTGAAACTGGGCTTCAATGCTCCGATCATCCAATCTGATTCACAATCCTTATTCGACTTGTAGTGCCCGAAGGGTTTTCACCATCAAACCTCTCTCATTTTGTTCTTTCTCTCAACTTATTGTCGCCTTATGGTGCCCGCGAGGGTTTTTACCAATAATACTCTTATTTTTAGATTTCTCTCAGCTCTCGTCGCCCTACGGTGCCCATGAGGGTTTTCACCAATAAGACTCTCTCATTTTCATTATTTTCTGCTTGGACCAGATTGTTGCCCCTGACATGAATTACTTCTCCTTGCTTGACTTGGCATCTCTCGAAGACTGATCGGAAGGTCTTTCTTTGGATCATAACGTGGGCTTTTGGATAGGGTTAAAAACAAAGGATATCAAAGGCTCAAAACAATTCACATGGGTTCAAAATTACAACTTTTGGAATCAGATTTCTTACAACAACCACAACTTCTGCCCCAGTTTCTTGCTTGGGGACTTTTGGATTTTTATTTTGATGAGACCGAACCATGAGGCTGCCTATGTATCCTTAAAAGGAATCAGGTCGAACGTAGTTCATGTCATAGGAATTGCTCTGTTGTTGTGATTTTTCTTTTCTCTTTCTCTTTTCTTTTCTTTTCTTTCTTCCTCTTTGTCTTTTTGTTGTTTTGTTGTTTTTTTCCTCTTTTCCTCTTTTTTTTCCTTTTTTTTCATTTTTTCAATTTTCATTTTTTCTTCTCTTCCATTTCGTTCTTTTGTTTTCTCATTTTCCTTTACTTATCTTGCACGCTTGTGTTTCTGATCTTTGCTACTGATTTCGAAAGAGGGGTATGAAAGAAAATAAACAAGGCTCAAAGGGGTAACGAAGGATAAGGTTTTTAGATAGCAGAACAAAATGTCTTCGTCATCCCAATCTTCAAAATATGCCAAGTACAAACAACACAATTAAACAAACCAAGGAAAAAATTTGTAACATCTTTTGATTGCGCCAGACTTGATGACCATATCCACACATTCGCCTTCTA